CATCCCCCCTGGGGGGGATTTCTCGCTTTCTGTCTCTATGTCTCTCTCTGTCTGTCTGGTGAACGCACGTGCCCTATAGCAAAAACCCCTCCCACCCAAAAAAAAAAGATGTCTGTTCTTTTTTTCTTTGAAAGAATCCTCTCAAGGCTCGTGTAACATGGCGTTTCATTGCAGTAGAAGGATTATATATGAACACTGGAACTATTTGTCCTCTCCCAGAACTGGTAAGCAGCACCCGTGCTCAGTCATTGTAGCTGTCAGGCTTTTGGGCAGATCGCCTTTGCTTGTGACTACTTTCCATTGATAATGTCCAAAGTGCTTTGCTCTTGAGGCAGCGTAATCACATTTTGATTATAACAGTAAAGTAAATTAACATCAGATGCCATTATTGGTGTTAAAAGGGTAATCAAGACTTAACTTTTAAAAAAACAACTTTATTGAGGTGAAAATGACACATAACAAAAATACCTACCTCAGTTGTACAGTGCGATGACTTTCGACAGATGTAAAACCCCATTATCACCACCAGTGTCAAGACATAGGGCGTTTTTCTCTAGTGCCTGTTTGTGGTCAGCACCTAGTCCTGGTCCAAGACCGCCTGGGACAGTCTCTTTTTTTTTTTCCATAGAGTAGTTTTACCTTTTGTAGAATTTTCATGTAAATGAAAGCATATAATACATATTTTGTAAAACTCAGCTTCTCATTGTTGAAACAATGCCTTTTTTTTTTTTTTTTAAAGATTTTGGCTGTAGGGAATGTGTGTTCACCAAAGAGAAAGACAGAACAGGAGAAATCATCCCCAGGGAGATGGCTATGCTACAATCCCTTCTATGTTTTCCACTCAGGATTTTGGGCATGCATACAATGCACCCAGATTGAGTTTTAAGCCACTGAGTCCAGGACTTGAAACATGGTTGACTCTGTGGGGCGTCCAATGACATAACCATTCTAATATCTGCTGGTCCTGAAACAATGCCAGTTTTAGAGAGCATAACCACTAGGATTTACTTCATTGAGGTGAGATTCACATTCCACAGCATCAGTTGTGAGGTGTGTGTCAGTGGGGGGATTTCATTCACCATATTGCACAGCCAGCACCTCCACTAGTTCCTAAACCTTCACTCCAAAGTAGACCCCCTTCTCAGAATCCAGCCCTCCTCTCCTCTTCTTCCTGTTTTCCCTCTCCCTAGCTCCTGGCAACTACCAATCTCTCTGGATTTAGCAATTCTGGATCGTTCCTATAAATGGTATCATATAATATGTGACATGTTACATCTGGCCTTCCTCAGTATAATGTTTTTCAAGCTCATCAACATCGTACCATGTATCAGTACTTCCTTCTTTAATGCTAAGTAATATTCCATTCTGTGGATATACCACATGTTTATCTGTTCACTCAGCGATAGCTTATTTGGTGGGTGGTTTTTCTCATTTTAGCTGTTATGAATAGTGCTGCTTTGAATGTTTGTGTTCAAATATTTATTTGAATCCCTGTTTTAATTACTTTATGTATATACCTAACTGTGACTTGCTCAGTTATGGGGTCTCTAGGTTTAATTTACTGAGCAGCTGCAGTACTGTTTTCCACCATTTCACATTTCCATCAGCCATACACAAGGGTTCCTTCCAGTTTCTGTACATTGTCACCAACATCTGTTATATTTCCTCAGGGTTTTTTAATGTGTTTTAGACATCCTAGTGAGTGTGAAAGTGCTATTTCAGTGGTTTTGATTTGCATCTCCCATTTGACTAAGGATGTCGATCTCCTTTCCATGTGCTTATGGCCATTTGTATATCTTGGAGAAATGTTTATTCAAGTGCTTTGCCCATTTTTAATTAATTGGTTTGTCCTTTTGGTGTTCAGTTATAAATGTTCTTTATATTTAAGATACTGGAATCTTATCAGATACATGATTTACAGATATTTTCTCCCATTACGTGAGGTTTCATTTCACTTCTTTGATAGTATCCTTTGATTCACAAACATTTTTAATTTTGATAAAGTCCACTCTATTTGTCTATACATTTGTGTCATACCTAAAAATCATTGTTAAATCCTAGGGTATAATGATATACTGTTTTGTTTATTTCTAAGAGTTTGCGATTTTCACTCTTACATTAGATTTATGGTTTTTTGAGTTAATGTTATGTGTAAGTTGAGACATAGTGGTTCAGCCTCATTCTTTTGTGCATGGTTATCTAAATTGTCTCAGCATCATTTGTTAAAGGGACTACTGTTGGTCTTGGCACCCTTGTCATAAATTGGTTAACCTCCTCCCCACCCCCCCCCGCCTGCAAAAAAAAAAAAAAAAAAAAAAAAAATTTGCTCATAGGTGTATGGTTTTATTTCTGGACTCTATTCAATTCCAATTTTCTCTCGGTATGTTCTTATGGCAGTACCATACTGTCTAGGGGTGATTTTATGATTTCTGTCTCTCTGCCTCTCTTTGTCTCACTGGAAAGTGCACGCACTGTATATGAAAAATCTCTCAAAAAAAATAATAAAATGAAGAATTGTGGCAACTGGGGCTTGCAGGTGACAGTCCGAGTCCCAAACCTCGCAGCTTGCTCTCTCTTTCTCTGGTTAAATTAAAACATAATAATAATTAATTAAATTAAATAATTCTTTAAATAAAAAATAAGGAATTGTGGCAGCTGATTTCCATAAAACTCTTAAGTCATCCATCGGTAAATGGAGGTGGTAGACTAGTTAAGCAGTGAAGTGTTTTATTAGTTGTTTCCCACCAGTAAAATTTAAATTAACTGAAGGATTGACAGTTGATGGTGTTTTTGTTTTTTAAAGAGTGATTTTTATTTAACTTTATTTATACTACTTAATTATGTGTAAATTTGAACAGGTAGGGATAGAGTGAGAGAGAGCAAGCCAGCCACCAGGTCCAGGACTCAAAGAGCAGTCGACCATGTGGGAGTCCAGTGGCCTTAAGCATCATGCTACCTGCTGGCCCCTTTAGTTGATATTGTTTTAAATATTGGGGATCTGTGTCAGATTTTATTTTTTAATGTAATTATTCCTAAGAAAGTTTTTTTTTTTTTTACGAATTATTTAACTTTATTTGTTTATATATTGTTTATTTTAAATTTGACCAAAGAGGGACAGAGTGAGAGGAGGAGTAGGAAGCAAGAAAGCAAACCACCAGGTTCAGGACTCCAGCCAGGTCCTTTATAAAAAGAAAACGAATGAATAGAAACAAAGTGAGTTTTGACAGTAAACTGCAAGAGGCCTTACTTCATGTGAGGCAGTCTATGCAAGTATGTTTAAATTTTATGCGCAGGTTTTGAAAGTATTTTTGTTTTGTTTTGTTTTGTTTTCTGCTTACTCTTAGGTACCGCCTACTATCTTATTTTGGAAGGAGTCCTAATACTCTGGATAATCAGAGTTCTTTTCTTTAAAACTTATGAATTACAAGAACGATCTGATCTTACACTCAAGGTAAGAAATTAAATCACCAATTTACTATTCAGTGTATTGTGACTGTAGTTGCTGTCTCTCAGAAGGATTTGTAGAGGCCCAAGTACACACGTTAAAAATGTGTTCGGAGCGGGCAGGGGGGGACCAGCAGTTAGCATATTGGCTGTGTCACTGGACTCCCAAGTAGTCGACCGCAGTTCGTGTCCCGGACCCGGTGGCCGAAAACTCTCGCCGGGCACGTGTGCATGCGTGCCCAAGATCCCAAGAGGAGAACGGAGGAGAAGGGATTGCAGTGTGGCCATCCCCCCTGGGGGGTGATTTCTCACTTTCTGTCTCTCTGTCTCTCTCTTTCAGTTTGGCGAGCGCACGCGCCCTATAGCAAAAACCTCTCCAAAAACAAAATGTTTTCTGGGATATAAGGAAACTGAGGGGAATCAAATAGCAGGGTAGGCAAAGTGTGGGGAAAGCTAGGGATAGAGTTGTTCCTAGAGGAAGACCACTCTGCGGTCCCATGCACGTTGCTTAGTGTAAACAGTCCGACAGGTAGGTGATCCGAGGAATGCTCTGGCAACTGCCAGATTTTGAAGGTGTTCACTCTGGTCTCTTCAGTAGGTCAAGAAAAACACAACTTACTTCTGAAGATGGAAGACAAATTTTCCCTTGTTCTTCATAAAGAAGATTTAGATTGGAAAGAGTCCTGTCTGCCCACACCCCAAACCATGGTTTTTTTTTTTTTTTTTGAGAGGTTTTTCACTATAGGGCGAGTGCGCTCACCAGACAGAGAGAGACATAGAGACAGAAAGCGAGAAATCACCCCCCAGGGGGGATGGTCATGCCGCAATCCCTTCTCCTCCATTCTCCTCTCGGGATCTTGGGCACGCACGCACACGCGCCCGGCGTGAGTTTTAAGCCACCGGGTCCAGGACGCGAACCGTGGTTGACTACGTGGGAGTCCAGCGACATAGCCATTACGCTAACTGCTGGTTCCCCCCAAACCATGTTTTGATGTGTTGTGTAGAATGAGGGAAAAATTCTGGACATAAAAGTAAATTTTTCAGGACCAGTAGTTGGCGTAATGGCTATGTCGCTGGACTCCCACATAGTCGACCGTGGTTCGAGTCCGGGACCCGGTGACTTAAACTCATGCAGGTCGTGTGTGTGTGTGTGTGTGTGTGTGTGTGTGTGTGTATGTGCGTGCCCAAGATCCCGAGAGAAGAATGGAGAAGAAGGGATTGTGGCTCTGCCTGTCTGGCGAGCGCACGCGTCCTATAGCGAAACCTCTCCAAAAAAATAAATAAAGAAATAAAGTAAATTTTTCTCCAATTGTCAGATTACCCACAAAACTACATATGAAAGAATTTCAGCTTGTGCTCAGAGAAGAAAGGAGCGGCATAGGTGCACAGAACTCAGGAGGGGCTCTGTTTCCTTCTGGCCACAGCAGTCAGGTGCACTCTTTCTAGCAGGGTCTTCAGTGTGACATTTCCTTGTAATTCAGATCCTGCCCAAGTCGTCGTAAGGTCACTAACACCATGGTATATTTTAACTCATTTTCTCATGTCTCCTGTAGGAAAAGGAGGAGTTGATTGAAGAATGGCAACCAGAACCTCTTGTTCCTCCTGTCTCAAAAGATCATCCTGCTCTCAATTACAACATTATTTCTGGGTAAGTTGGTTTCGCTACCTGAGGACTTACATTGGGCTTTCTGGGGGCATATATGCCAAAGGATATAGTGGTTTATAGAGTATTTTCTTTTTTAACTGCAGTAAAATATTCACAAATTCCTGCCATATGATAATTGCTTTAGTTTTGGATATAAAAACCTCTGTTAAGGATATTAGGAGCATTTTTTTAAGTCCTCAGTTTGGACACTAATAATTTTCCCATTTTTCTTAAAAACAAAACAAAAGAAAAAACTCCAAGCTTTTTCAAACTAATGGATGTACATGGTAATGTTTTAAATGATCAAACATAGTTAAAATGAAAAGTGGCAGATTTCCACTTTTTGCGGTTTTAGATCTGTTGTAGGCTACTCTCATAACTAGATACTATAGAAGTGTGCTTACACTACCGTTTCTAGGGGCGAGGGAGTACACATGCACCTGTCATGAATTTCAAGGCTCCAGATTCAGGATTTGAACTGTAGAGGGCCCTGTGGGAGTTGAGCACCTTAACCACCAAGCCACCTGCTGGCCCTTCACACTGTTAACTCACAACATGAACTGTGAATCTTGAGCTCACTTATATCCCTTTCCTCTCTGTTTCCAATGTTTGATCTGTTGAGTTGCCAGAAAAGTCATGACTCATTTTTGCATAAGAAAACAGAAAGATACATCATGACTTTCCTGACAACCTTTCTTTAGTTCTTCTGTTGGTTATCTTTGCTTTCTTATATGCATTTTTATAATTAAGAGATATTTAAAATATATAGAAAATATCAGACACCTTGTCCCAGAATTAAAAAGCGTTAACACTTTGCTGTCTTTGCTTCAGGTCTGTTTTTTTTAAAAAGAAATATAAGAAATACAGCTTAAGAAATATCTTCCCATCTATAATTTACTCTTGCCTCCTATACAACAGACCTACTGTTTTAAAGTTGGTAGACAATGTCTTTATGTTTATAATTTTAACACATACACTTTGGCCAAGAAAATATTTAGTATTTTGTTTGAAAAAATATGCAGGGTAGTGTGTCCTGAGTGTGTTCTTCCCCTTCAGATCTGATCTAGGAGAGGCTTTTATTCTCACATCTGTAGTTTCTTTTTTCCTCCTTTTATTTTGAGAGAGATTTTTCTATAGGGCATATGAGCTTGACAGAGACAGACAGAAAGCAAGAAATCATCCCCCAGGGGGAATGGTCACACTGCAATCCCTTCTCCTGCATTCTCCTCTCAGGATTTGGGGCGTGCATGCACACACACCAGCATGAGGTTTTTTAAGCTTCTGGGTCTGGTACTCAAACCGCAGATGACTGCATGGGAGTCCCGTGATGGAACCATTACATCACCTGCTGGTCTCTCATATCTGTAGTTTCTTTAGTCTTAAAAAGTTTGACGTATTCTGAAAGCAAACTTTCTGATCTTTCATCCTGTACTTTGGTCTTAAGAAATCTCCTACCCCGAAGGTCTAACTTGCCTGTTTTTATGGTCAGTGGTCTCAGTTTACTAGTTGGACAATCCATTCTTTACCTATTGATTGGAAATTCCCTTTGGTATAGTGGCTTCCCTTGTAAAGGGTCTGACTGACTTTTAACTCTGTTCTTTTGGTATATCTGTGTCTCAGTATCACCACTTTATAATAGCCCTGACAAGAGTGATTCCATCTACCTCCCTGTTGTAAATTGACTCTTTTCTTCACCATGAGCTTACATTTTGCTGACCAAATTCGGTACAAAAATGTGAGTTTTTATTGAAAATGCATTGAGTTTATGGATTAATTTGGAGAGAGCTGGTACCTTGTTGATACTGAATCTTACCACCCCTTTACGTAATGTATCACTTGTGTTCTTGGGTCTTATTCCCTACGGTGAAGTTTTATCATTATCTGCACAAAGATTTATCTGTTTTTTTCTACTTTTGATTTTGAAATATTTCTAGACTCATGGGCAGATGTATGAAATAATACAGAAATATGCCATGTACCCTTCACTCTATTTTCCCCAGTGGTAATGTCTTGAGTAACTCCGGGACAGTATTACACTCAGGAAATTGCATTCCATATCTTTGAATAGGTTCATCTCTGGGTACCGGAGAGTTTTTGTTCCTGTCATGAGGTGTTTTTTTCCCTTCCTGTTCTTGTCCTCATGTCCTGGCTAGGACACCTTTCATTCCAATGTTGAATAGAGGGAGTATGGTGGCCTTCATGTACCTGATGGCTTTTAAGCAGCAGCCTATGTTGAATTACAGGCATTCTCTTTGTAGTTTGCCAAAGAAATATTGATTGTTTTAAAAAATCAAAGTACTGGGGCTAGGAGTTGGCATTGTGATTAAAGGCGCTGGATTCCCACATGGCTGACTGCAGCTCGGGTCCCAGACCTGGCAGCTTGCTTTCTCGCTGTCCCTTTTTCTCTCTCTGTCTCTCTCTGGTCAAATTTTAAAAAATAATAACAAAAGGAATTAAATGAATAATTTTATTTTCCAATACAACTTGTTTTTATTTTACATTTTTCCATAAACATTTACTTTACATAGCAAAGAATTTTAGCTCATACTCCATAATTCTTGACAGTTTACAAACAACTTTCAAAGTTTCAAAATACTGAATTTTAAAGATAATGTTCAAAATATGTCTTATAATTTTGT